CCCCACCCCCTAAAAAAAAAACCTCAAAAAAAAAAAAAAAAAAAAAAAAAAAAAAAAGCCAGCCTATGGTGTAAAAGTTAAAGTGATGGATCCCACATGGCCAAAAGCACAGTTCGAGTCCCAGATCTGGCAGCATGAAAAACATGGTGAGTGTGTGTGGAGGCCCAAAATTCCAGAAGGAGGAAAAAATGGAGAAGGGACCATGGTGTGAACATGCCTTATGGGGGGTGCTTCTCACTTTCCCTCTTTTTCTGTCTCTCTTTCTGTCTCTCCATCTCTTTCTCTCCAGCAAGCACATTCACCCTATAGCAAAAAATTTCTCTAAAAATAAAAAACAAAATTGCTATTTTTTTAAGTATAAAAGGAGACTCAAGTGCACTTTATATTTGAAACATGTTAATGCCGGAATTTATTGTAGTGAAATTCTTTGTATCAATAGCTTAATTACCTAAAGGATCAATATACCTGGAACCTGATTATTTTATATTCATCGTAATGGACACACCAGTGTACTAAAGGACTACTTGAGTTTGAATCTTGATCGGGGGCAGGGGTGGGAGGGATGGCCACACTGCAATCCCTTCTCCTCCAGTCTCTACTCAGGATTTGGGGCATGCATGCACACACGCCTGGTGTAATTTTCAAGCTGCCCAGGTCTAGGACTCGAACCAAGGTCATCCATATGGGATGGTGGGCCTCAATCACCATGCCACCTGCTGGCCCCAAGTCAGGCTTCTGCGTTGGCCGCTGCAGAATTACTCTTTTTGGGTTGAATCCATTGCACGGCAGGAATGTACTGTGCAAGAGAAGCCAGAGCCCGTATGACCCACATGGTGTGAAACCTTGGCCCAGTACACCCAAAACACAACAAGTATTCGAGTGCCTGGGAGTGGCTGGCCGGAGGAAGGGGACTGTGGCATGACCAGACCCTGCAGAGGGAACACCTCTCTCTCTCTCTCTCTCATGTACATGCACTTTATCATGATTAAAGAAAAAAAAAAATCCTGGGACCAGCAGTCAGTGTAATGGCTATGTCTCTGGACTCCCATGTAGTTGACTGCAGTTTGAGTCCCAGGCCTGGTGGCTTAAACTCAAACGGGGCGCATCCCCCCAGGGGGTGATTTCTCGCTTTCTGTCTCTCTCTCTCTCTCTATTTTTCCGGCAAGTGCACACGCCCTATAGCAAAAACCTCTTAATAAATAAATGAACAAACAAACAAACAAATAAAAATTTTTGTCATGGTCACCCATGACTTGTGCATTGCCCAGTTCAATGGTCAATGTTCATGCCTCGTCTCCCCAATCGATTGGCACTGACCCCACTTCCTGAAGGCTTTTCCTTACTGGGTCCTGGGATACCACTCTCTGGCTGCATCTCCGCCATGACTGGTGGCCTCTCCCCATCTCTTCCATCTGTCCTCCCTTGCCACCTAGCCCTGCCCCGCGGCCGAGGCCTTAGAACCATCTTCCATTCTCTACCCACACTCACAACCAGGGGGACTGAATCCTGTCCAGTGGCTTTTAAATATCCGTGTGCCCGTGCCTCCTAAAAGTCCCTCTCCAGCAAGTAACAGATACTTAATAAAAATCAGCTGGGTGGTGTGGTGCTTAAAAGGCACTGGGCTCCCACATGGCCAACTAGGGTTCAAGTCCCAGACCTGGTGGCTTGCTTTCTCACTTTCCCTCTCTTTCTCTGTCTCTCTCTGATCAAACTGGAAAATAATAATAATAAATAAAAG